TTATCGAAACCTTTCGATTATCTTAAATTAATTTCATTTTTATTCACATTTCCTGAAAAAAAATTGATATTTGGATTTTTCCCTATGTATTATAAATACCAATAATGATGAATTTTGAAGAAAAAAACATGTGTATATTCACATTACTTTGTGAGTTTAGAGAAAGTTTTATGCGATTTTTCAGTTAACTACTAGTAAAACGGCTGATTTTTAAATCTGTATATTAAGCTTAGTCACAAATTTTAAAGGAGCAAAGTGTGGTTACAGCCAAATTAAGTATATATAACAAGACAAACACCCCATAGATTCAATAATCCAACTGCAAGATTTTCTTCATTTTGGTGATATATTTGTGGATCTCTGCTGTACTCTTTTTTTTTTAAACCTGGACGAAGAGCACAAAGATACTCTTCCCCCCTTTCAAAAGTGGTGATAGGGACAATAGACCCCTATGAATCTAACTTTTAATGTGTCTCCATCTCCCTTTTCAATATACTTTTTAATTTGATTCAGCCTTCAGTCGTACATGCTGGCAAATACATGATACATAAGTTTTCACTAAATCCCGAGTGAAGTAAAGGTTCATTAGAATTCCCGCCCCCGTCAAGTTAATTTAGAAACACTTTATTCATAAATTAAAATCGATATAACTATATCTTTACTTTATCACATCAACAATACTATACTGACACGCAAAAGAAACGCAACACCCTACATTTGTCGGAAATAATTATGTAAAGTAAAGAATTTTGTATCTTAAAATTATGGATATCTTCAATTTGGTAAATATCGGTAATTTAACGGTTGAACGATATTCGTAACATAACCAGAAGTCAAATTTGAGTCAGCTTAGCATAAATCAAAAATTGCATGTTTAACAAAACATTTGGCAAAATTAGGGGAGTTTTAAGGATTTATACTGTTTATCTTAAGTAAAACAGCAATATTTCAAAAAATAAAATCTACTTTTGTTTCCCGTTACGATGCTAAGGCTTGTCGAAAATGGCTTAAGTAAGCATTTCCATTGCTCTAACTGGAAAATCTCAACGTAAAGGTGATGGAGAGTTGATGATGCAAAAATACACTGCATTACGCCTCAATGGGGTCTTATGTATCAAGTGCATAAATGATAGTCCTTGGACCGGAAGTCCAAGGGTTACTACAATGCGCTAAGTTTGAGAAAATTCGACCTTATCATCTCAAAAACAGGCATTTAAAAATGGCAAAGAATAATTCCTTAGCTCAGATCTCCATATTGATTAACCTATTGTATCGTAAAAATTAAGCTGCAATTGCTGTTTAGGATAGTCTTGCACGTTGTAATTGAATGGCTGGGAGGGGGGTGTTTTAACAGTCATATGTTACTTCGTAAAGTTAAAAGATAATCATTTAACATTTTTATCAAATCCCTGATGTTCTGAAAAGTGAGTTTAGCCTTACTGTATTCTTTTTTGAAAATCATTAGATAAAAAATTCAAACCTTTGTAGATTATTGCTTGTTTCGTTTCTTTTGCGTGTCAGTATATATCGATGTAATTAAATATCTTGTTTCTATAAATATCTGAAAATTTTTATATTATTTCAGTCGATAAAACTTAAAGCAATAAAATTTATTGAACAAAAGAAGCTGCCTTTAATTTTGTTGGAAAATTTTAATACAATTCAAAATATGTATATAAATAAAGAGGTATAACACTTTATATGTTGATAAGTCGATAAAATATAAAACAATATACAAAGTTATAACACAACAAGTGTAGAGCCATTTACGCTTCCGTAGATTTAGTAACATCTGAAGGCAAACTTTTGATTTTCTAACTGAATGTACCTGAAATAGGTGAAGGAAATGAAAATAAAAGGTTAGGAGACATCGGTATTTACAGGGCGGATCTTTATCAAAATCGGTTTCTTTCCAGCCTCATATTGTTGGTGCAAGTGAAATACATGTACATACTTTTTCTATAAAAAACCTCTTTTCCGGATGGTTAAATATCAAGATCTTATGAAGGAATATTGTATACAAAATAAAAGTCATGGTATAAATAAAATATCTCTCAGTTCCGAACCGCATGTTCCGAAATATGAATTTTACGGGCAGCGTCGGAATCACTAAAATTAATTTATCTACAGACTATTCACAGTGTGTAAGATTGAACAAACTATCTAAGTGTGTAAGATTAAATAAATTGCCCTCTTGTATTTTGTTTTCATTGTCTGAGGTGAAAAACTAGGTCAAGCACGGCGTGATAATTACAATTAGTTACGCAAGTATTTGATACACAAGTTTAGATTCAATGGTTTTTTAAAAATGCGATTATATATCACTATGTTTTCATTACTAAATACCAAAAAATTAACATTAACTTTGATCTATTTTTTATTGGGAAAAGCCGAGAAAATTAAGCTGTAATGTTATACAATGGTCAATGTCTGTTGTGACGATATATATACTGATCTGAAGTTTGACGATTGTAAATTTTGACGAGAAAAGAAAAACGTCAATATAGTCAAAATAAGCACATCGTCAAAATTTCCCCGTATACAGTATATCAACCTCATATACAATTTGTTTAAATAATACTAAGTATAGAAGATGACTTCATTTTTCATTCTAGTAGAAAAGTCCACAAGAATAAACGTATTTACATTATTATTCATTTCTTGGATGTATTTCCCTTTCGATGGGTTGAGCCAGTGAGAGACTACTTTTCTTTCACGTACTTGATAAGGGGTCGTTCAATATCAATCCATTTCTCCTTTCTTGCTATATCTATTGGTGTTTTATTGGAAATATCCTTCTTCGTGGCATCGGCATTAAACTGCAGTAGGATATTGATAATGTTTTGGTTGCCAAGAAGACAAGCTCTGTGTAATGCAGTTCTATTCAGCTTATCTCCAATGTCAATATTAACTTTGTGCTGCAGCAGAAGTTCTACAATTTTTTCCTCAAAGAAGTCCACTTCAAGATGCAGTGCAGTTGATCCATAACGGATTGTTTGGTAACTTAAATTTGGTTTTAAATCCAATAAAATATTTAATACTGCTAAATGACCTTTTTTTCAGCTATGTGGACTGCACTAAAGCCATTTATATCACACCAATTTACATCAGCGTTATTCTTCAAGAGTGTTACGTTTCTATAATGTTTATTTGACCCTTCTCGGTAGCCCTTAAAAGAGGACTCTGGTCATATTATTCCATAAATTAAAAGCCATTTTCTGTAATGAAATGAAATTTTATATAGGAGCTGTGGCACGCATAGTCTCAGAATTTCTCCAAACTCTCTATGATAAAAGTCATTGATACCCTAAACTGAAATCAGGCAAAAATTGTTTGCTATTTTTTTATAGTTACTAGGGCAACATGTCTTAAAGTTCGAAAAATGGCATTTTGTAACATGTTTAGAGCCCCATAGTTAACATTTGAGGCAAAGCAAACAATTTGCAATGACTCTTTCCAAAAGTTGAAGGTCAGATGTCTCAAATGCATTATAAACATGTTTGGTAAATCAACTATTACATACGTTACTATGGTAACAAAGTATTCAAAAGTAAAAAAAATCATTGAATTTTATAAAGTCATACACGTAAAAATAAAAAGCAATTATAGGATAAAATGTGACCGAATAATAGAAAAAAGAGCCTTGAAACATATACCAAGAACAAAATATGATATTTTAATTTGGTTGGCAATGGTTGCCAAGATTTTTATACCACAGAGAGCCTTCAAAGTAACACTCTGTATTTTTAAATCTGATCCTATCTTTAAAAAAAAAAGCACATTTCCTTATAACTAATGATCAATTTTATAAGATGTTGGTGTGCTCCAAGTTTTCTGATTTGAAAAAATTCAGATTAGATTCTTTAAATAGAGCGTTGCTATGAAAATAAGACTAAATATATCCTTAAAAAACTGAAAAATATTTTCTTTCCTTGGATACGTACCTTTAAATGTAGATTCCCAAAACTTTTATGATTGATATTTATTAACAGCTAACTTGACTTTTAATTTTGACTATCATCCAAACTCTAAGTGGATGCAAGGAGTTGGCACACAGGGTTTAATATTGATATAAAGTTCACAAAATCGAACATTTTCCCTTCTTGGTAACCATAGCAACAGTGTTGTTTTATTCATCAAATTTTATCAATATAGGATATTCAACTTCAGTTCTAACAGATAAGTACTATTCAAACTGAGTCCTTTAATTGTTTCTTGATTAAATGGCAATTTAATTCTTAATGTAGCGAAAAATAATTCACTTTTAAGCACTGGAACTTTGTTTCCATGGTAACACTGCAAAGTAGCAATTATACCCAATTTTTCTTATGGTTTTTGGTGTTGCAAGGTCCTAAGGATGCATATTTGCCAGTCTTGAATTTTTATGCTTTTCCTCAAGACAGTAGCATTAACCCAGTTTTACTTACTGGTTTTGCATGGTTACACTGTGTTACCATGGCAACCATAAAAGTTATTTGAAGAATAATATTGCTTATACTTATATACTTAAGGTCAAACCTTTTCATTGTTTTGATTGAGTTTGAGTATGTAACACCTACCATTAGTGAATACGGAGTGTTTTTCAGCATATTTCAGCATTTTAAATGTATTCCAAATGTACCCTTGGTTACCACTTACTTTGAAATATATTCTAAACAGTTTCTTTACAGTATAAGTGACATCTAGGTGTCTTGTTTTTGTGAGAATGGTTTGTTTGTTTTTTCTAGTTTTTATTAAGCCACAGCTAAGATTTATAGTATCTGAAAATCTCGATTTTTCAAACTTTTCCGGCTGTTCCCATAGCAACCGAGACACATAGCAACGAAATTTTGTTTGATATTTGTTTCTGGTGTCAAGTACTAAGCATGGGTAAAGTTTCATCAAAATCGGTGACCATGCGTGGCAACGAAGTTTAAGTGGTTACAGAAAATAGCTTTTAACATCTGCTTTGTTCTCCAAAAGTATTTCTACTGTTTTTAAATGATCCTTATCGGAAGCTTTTAAAAGTGGACTTTTATCATTCTTATATCGGCCTTATTTTCCAATAGTATTTGTACAATGTTTGAGTGACCATTGCTGGAAGCCAAGAAAAGTGGACTCTCACAATTACTATTACATAAATTAACGTCAGCCTTATTTACCACGAGTAATCGGGCAACATCTGCATGACCATTCCTTGAAGCCCAGAAAAGTGGACTCTCACCATTACTATCACATAAATTAACGTCGGACTTATTATCCAAAAGTAATTGTACAACGTCTGCATGATCATTCTTGGAAGCTTTTGAAAGTGGACTCATGCCTGTATTATCACAGATATTTACATCAGCGTTCTTTTTCAATAGTATTTCTACAATGCTGATATTACCTTTGTCCGCAGCAATAGAAAGTGGACTCCAGCCGCTGTTTTCACATAAATTTACGTCAGCATTTTTTCCAAGGAGCATTTTTACTATGTTTGAAAACCCATAATCACAAGCAATATAAAGAGGACTTATGCCATCGCACATACAAATGTTTACATCAGCCTCATACTGTAGCAGAAGGTGAACTATTTTCTCGAATCCATCTTCACAGGCACAAAATAATGGCGTTCGATCATCGTAACTTGAACAAATATTAACATCAGCTTTATTTTCTAAAAGTATTTCAACAATGTATTTATGACCATTGATAGTAGACCAATGAAGTGGACTATATCGATCCTTGTCACATAAATTTACATCGGCCATATTTTCCACGAGTATTTGTAAAACGTTTGTATGACCATTGCAGGAAGCCCAGAAAAGTGGACTGCGACCAGTACTATCACATAAATTTACATTGACTTTATTTTCCACAAGTAATTGTACATGACCATTCTTGGAAGCTTCTGAAAGTGCACTCAATCCATCTTTGTAACATAAATTTACATCGGCCTTGTTTTCCAAGAGTATTTGTAAAACGTTTGTTTGACCATTCCTTGAAGCCCAGGAAAGTGGACTCTCACCATTACTATTACATAAATTAACGTCGGCCTTATTTTCCACGAGTAATTGGGCAACATCTGCATGACCATTTCTTGAAGCCCAGAAAAGTGGACTCTCACCATCCCTATCACATAAATTTACATTGGCCTTATTATCCAAAAGTAATTGTACAACGTCTGCATGACCATTTATGGAAGCTTTCAAAAGTGGACTCATGTCTGTATTATCACAGATATTAACATCAGCGTTCTTTTTCAATAGTATTTCTACAATGCTGATATTACCTTTGTCCGCAGCAATAGAAAGTGGACTCCAGCCGCTGTTTTCACATAAATTTACGTCAGCATTTTTTCCAAGGAGCATTTTTACTATGTTTGAAAACCCATAATCACAAGCAATATAAAGAGGACTTATGCCATCGCACATACAAATGTTTACATCAGCCTCATACTGTAGCAGAAGGTGAACTATTTTCTCGAATCCATCTTCACAGGCACAAAATAATGGAGTACGATCGCTGTCATTTGAACACATGTTAACATTGGCTTTGTTTTCCAGGAGCATCTTTGCAGAGTCATAATGCTCATTACAGACAGCAAAATGTAATGCTGTGAAGCCAATTATGTGACAATTAACATCACACTTCATTTGCAGTAAAAAATTAGAAATATTGACATTATTAAACGCCGCAGAAAGATGCAAAGGCATAAAGTTTTCGTTGTCATATGAATGTTCCACCAATATATCTCCTCCACAAAGAAATGTTACTCTTTGTGCAAGTTCAATGTTTCCATTTATGCAGCTTGATAAAAATAATTTCCTCCCATCTATAGTACTTAATGTAAACTTTTCATTTCTAAGTCGTTTAAGTATGCATTCACATATTTTATCATGATTGTACATTAATAAAAGATCTAATATAGAAAGTGTGGAATTTCCCTCAATTATACCAAATCTGTTTACAAAACATTTTCGTTCCTCTTCAAAAACAGCGTCTAAACAAGGTAATATTATATTCTGATTTTGGTAACTTATCCATACGTTTATAACGTCGTCGATTGCAAGGTCGTCTATGCGATTTGAAATATTTTTGACAACTTTCTCATGACGTAAGGATAGACACAGACACACTTCAACACCGTTGTTCAGAGATATTTCCTTTAAAAATCTATCCACGAGAGGGTCGATATATTTTTCATCAAGGATTATACAGAAATCATTTTCGCTATGATCTATATTCATATCATTTTTCGTTATAACCCGTACCTTTTGTCTGATGAATTTCAAATTGCAGTATTTAAGTAACGTTGCCGGAGAATTTTCTCCAAAAGCAAATCCCGTTACATCCTCCAGAAAATCATGCAGAAAACTAAAGGTTGACCCCACTTTTTGTACAAATGATCCAACAAGAGAATCTAGATTGTTAACAATAACAACTCTTGAAATGCTTCTTTCTACTTCACAGACCTCACAAATTTCTTCAAATTTTGATCTACTCTGGTTTAAATCCAGAAATTTGTCAATATCAAGAGTGCCTCCATATAGGACTAGAAGGACAAGAGCTAAATACTTCTCTTTCTTCCTTGCTTTGTATTTATTTATTTCACCTTTGACCACGGGAGTTGGATTTTGGAAAAATTGAATTCCGCTTTTTGTATATTCATTTTCAGTAAAAAGTCGGCATAACAACGGAAAAAGTAGTGTGGCTCCTATGATTACTTCAATTTCTTTGTCTCCCAGCACATCTTTTCCTACATAACATTGTAAAATTCTCTTTTTCTCTTCATTATCTAATTGCAGGTTCTGATCATCGATTTCAACAACATTAGAACTTAACGTACATGCATAAGTCACTTCACACATTACCGACTTACGACAAGAGATCACAACTTTAATGTTGTTATTGACAAAGATTTTGCTCAAAGATTTGTCGATCTTTAACCATTCATTGAAGAAAACTTCGTCTAAATAATATTTTCCAACTGGGTCATCCAAGACAAAGAACTGTCGATGTGGAGAGGACGGGTCTGCAATTCGTTTAAATTCTAAAACATAATCAATTGGAAATACATGCCAACCGTCTGCTTCATATTCTAACGCCACGTGACGCGCTATAAATGATTTCCCAGATCCAGAATTACCTACAATAGTTACAATATTTTTTGTCTTTAGTTCTTCTCTGACAGCTCTACAAGCCCTGGTCTCGGCGAATCTTTTGTCCTGGATTTTCCAATCATCAACCAAATGTCGCTGCTTCTTTTCTTCTATAAATATATATAAAACATTATATAAAGTCTTTTGTTTAATATTTAGCTTTTAGTTTATTTATATTCATTTATCTTTAAAATGTTAAATTATAAAATGTGAAGCAAACAGAAGAAATGAAGTATCATATGTGTTTGTGAGACACTGATGCCCCCGTATGGCAACATAGCAAAGATTAATCTTTTCTTTAATGCAAATTCAATATACATGTATTGGAACCAAAAGTAGGGTATTCTCACTGGAAATACAATTGTGAAATAAGAAAATAGACCAAGGTAAAAAAAAAAAATTTATAAGTACGGAAATCTTCAAGGTCAAGGTCATTGGTATCAAAATGAAATGTCTTGCCACAAAAAATACATATGTACATGTATATTGTGGAAGCCCAAGCCCTAACTGTTCAGATCTGATGGCCAAGGTAAAATATTTTAAAAAGTAGGTCAAACTCCAAGGTCAAGGTAAAAGGCCCTGCTTTCAAATTATGGGTCAGAAAGGTCTTGGTACAAGGAATACATAAGTGAAATATGAAAGTCATAGCTCCACTACATCAAAGATTATGAGCAAGGTTAAAGTTTTTGTGGACAAACAGACAAACAGAGAGATAGACAGACGGACGGACACGACAAAAACTAAACTTCGTTCACGGGGGCATAAAAATAATACAATTTACTTCAAATATCTGGACACCTACAATGTTTTACTGTAAAATATATTTGTTGATTAATTTTTTATAATATAATGCATAGCCTGTAGTAGGTTTTTGGATACCAAGAACTTTGACCTTTTGAGTTTGACCTACTTTTAAAAAAAACACCTTGCCTATAACTTTTAAAAGATTTGGGCTAGTGCTTTCATATTTTACGTATTTCATTCTTGTGACAAGACCTTTCATTTGATAGCAAGACCTTTGACCCTTTGACCTTGACCTTGGAGTTTTCCCACTTTTACGCAAAAATTCAAAACTGTTACTTTGGTCATATCTTTTGAACAGTAGATACCAGGCCACATATACTTCAATATATATTCTTTGTTGAAAGACCTTTCATTGGATACCAAAAACCTTGAATTTTGACCTTGACCTTGGAGATTTCCGTACTTATGAAAAACTTTAACCTTGGCCTACTTTCATATTTCGAATAGTTTAATCTTCGCTAGGTTGCCATACAGGGGCATCAGTGTTTCATAAACACATCTTGTTTTTAATGGTGAATGATCACACCGGTTGTAATATGAAACCCAAGATTTTTTTCAATCCGGATCAATTTTTGACGTTACAAAGTAAGTCACGGACCTTTGGAATGAGACCATAAATATCGAGGCTCCCGTTTGCACGATGATGAATTCTCGGTATTCGATGGCCCTTAGTGCCGAGTATAGGTCTGAAATTTGAAGCCCTTGATCGGTAGATGGTGACGTATCTATGCAAGTCAAAAAATTATCGAATGGAACGTTAAAGAACACAGTAACAATTGACCTAAATATCCTTCCGTAACTTAACATAGTCACTCGTGAATCTATTTTTTCCGATTTTGAGAACTATTTTTATATAAAATTGAAAGATTTTTTTTTTAAATCTCTATAATATAATATTTACGTTTAATATTATGAAAAGAAAATTAAAAATGTCAAGTGCCTTGTAACACATGACGTTCTTGCATGATTACCTTGATCTTAATCAAAAGGTCTCATTGGATTTTTATGCGCCCGCATTGAAAGATCCGAGGCGTATATTGTTTTTGTCCTGTCTGTCTGTCTGTCTACCTGTCTGTTTGTCTGCAAACTTTAACCTTCGTCATAACTTTTGAACCATGAATGGTTGAAACTTCATATTTGGTATTTTACTCCACTAACTAAGCTCTTTCAAATGACACCAAGGTCAATGACTTTGTAATCTTGACTGTGACCTATATGCTAAAAATAGATTTTTTCTGCAGACTTTAACTTTCGGCAGAACATTTGAACCATAAAAGACAGAGACTTTATATTTGGTATGCATACACTACTAATTAAGCTCTTTTAAATGACAACAAGGTCAATGACCTTGTGACCTTGACTGTGACCTATACGCTAAATGTAGCTTTTTTGACAGCAAACTTTAACCTTCGCCATAACTTTGGAACGAAGAAAGACATAGACTTAATATTTTGCATGTATACTCCACTAGTTAAGCTCTTTCACATGACACCAAGGTCAATAACCCTGTTACCTTGACTTTCCTATATGCTAAAAACAGCTTCTTTGAACCTTCAGCATAATGTTTGAATCATGGGAGACTTCATATTTGGTATGCATACTTTACTAATCAATTTTTTTCTAATGACACCAAGATCAATGAACCTGTGACCTTATCTGTTACCTATATGCTAAAATACGGGGTTTTTTTAACTTTGTTGCCGCCGGGTGCATATTGTTTCACAAACATATCGTGTTCCAAATGTTATTCAAAGAAAGTTTAACTTGAAATCTATTAAAATGCCTAGAAGACATTATACACTTATTGACTGAGTTCTAGGGCAACAAGCGTTTTGTCAGACCCAAGAACCAAACTGTCTGCCTGAGGCCGGTTGGCCGAAGACAGACAGTTTAGTTCGAGGGTTCGACAAAACGCATTTTGCCCGAGAACTCTGTCAATAAATGTTTTGTTATACCTTTCATTTAATTGTATTTTTTGTACATGTATTTTGTACTGTATTTAGTGATGTGACATCAGGTTTGTCACTGTTTTACACCAACGAATGAAAATGAGATTAAGCTCCGCCCATTCTGTGAAGTAAGCGGTCCAACATCGATTTTTTATGCCCTTTCAGAAAAAACATTAACAATGTTAGACTCTTTACCCTATAGATTTGTATAGGAACAAATTTTTAAAGGTATTATAATATTACTGGTTCAACATTAGATCAAACTTATTTTTAAATTATACCCTCTAACAATGTATTCGACTTCAATTTCTCCTCCATGACTTTCCTCATCTCTTCATCCATGCAGCATTGACTCAAGTCGACCAGTTTCTGGTAACAGAATAAAAAGAATTTTCACGATTCTCAATAATAAAGAGTGGATAAAAAGGAAACAGAGAATACACTAAACTGGCTGTGATATATTGTAACCAATCACTTTAAATTAGGTAAAAAAAAAAAATTAAAATTAACCAACTATGGTATGTTATAACTACAGGTAATAGTAATGATCACTTGAAAGAAAGGTATTCATACATTATGAACTCCTCAATCTTTAATTCAAAATGAATACATTCGGCCTTCACAGGGTTTTATTATGTGACCAACCCACTTTAATTTCCAGTGAAGTTTCTAAACTTGTTACTTATTTCTTAAATAACTCCATCTTACACTTGTCAGAAAAGGAAGCATCCATTTTTAAAAATAAGAATTCCATCTACTCATCTTTTAACCGTTTTACCTTTTTATAGTTTTTGCCCGGTCTGTTTTTATCAAATCTTTCAGATATCTTTTCGAGATCCAACCAAATAACTTGGAATTCAGAATATGATATTTGTGCTCGAGTGGTATGTCCATAAACTTCATTTCTATAGTAGTGGATCCTTTCTACATCTGCTGCCACTGAGAGGTCTGTCGCAAGAGGCTTTTTATTCCATCCAAGTTTAGGTGGCGGAAGTGAGCTTAAATTTCTACAAGAAACAAACAGAGAACTTCTAATATTTCTTTTGTTTGCTGTTGTAAATACTGTATCACCAAAAGAGAAAAATTTCTACAGGACAAAAGGCCCATGGACCACATCGCTCACCTGAGCACTAAGGGTAGGAAAAAGTAGAAGGTTAAATCCAAAAGTAGTCCCATGACCAAACATGGATTTGCTATTTTTTAGAAAATGATTTTTAAAGAATTTTCCTATATATATCTTTAAAAACTTTAGTCGGCCATTTTGGCCCCGCCCTACCCCCAGGGGTCATGATTTGAACAAATTTTAATCTACACTACCTGAGCATGCTTCCATATAAATATGATGAATTATGGCTTTGTCATTCTTGAGAAGAAGATTTTTAAAGAATTTTCCTATATATTTCTATGTAAAACTTTGGTCGGCCATTTTAGCCCCGTCCTACCCCGGGGGTCATGATTTGAACAAACTTGAATCTACACTACCTGAGCATGCTTCCATATAAATATGATGAATTATGGCTTTGTCATTCTTGAGAAGTTTTTAAAGAATTTTCCTATATATTTCTATGTAAAACTTTGGTCGGCCATTTTGGGCCCCACCCTACCCCCGGGGGTCATGATTTGAACAAACTTGAATCTACACTACCTGAGGATGTTTCCCCATAAGTTTCATCTTTCCTGGCACAGTGGTTCTTGAGAAGAAGATTTTTAAAATAGGCCACCAAATTTTCAATAATTCCCAATTTCCCAAACTTTTTATCTCGTAATAACGACTTTTTATCTCGTTATTACGACTTTTTATCTCGTTATTACGACTTTTTATTTCGTAAAAACGACTTTCTTAAATCGTAATAACGACTTTTTTTCTCGTTATTACGACTTTTTATCTCGTTATTACGACTTTCTTAAGTCGTAATAACGACTTTTTATCTCGTTATTACGACTTTTTATATCGTAATCACGACTTTTTATCTCGTTATTACGACTTTCTTAAGTCGATATAACGTTTTTTTTTCATTTGAAAATTTTTTTTAAACTTGATCCTTCCAGGAGAGAAAACGGAAACGTGCCCGGTATAACGGTGTCGTGTAGCTGAAAACGCGATGATTGTTTAGTTATAAAATTGTCAAAACAGTTGCACCAGAGTTTGACAATTTATTTATGACAAAAATCTGTAATTATTGACAATATTTGGACTTGTTTTGTTTACACACTTATAATCTAAATCAATATGCTGCTAAATTGAAGACATTAGTGTTGCACATCGCAGAAATCATTTCAAAGTATTATATATGATACATAAGCGCGTGTCGAAAGCAAACTAAAAGGGAGGGGGGCTAAACCTACAAAAATGTTTGGGGGCTACTCAGTAAGCCCCAATTATCAATGCCTATGTAGACTACATTATGTATTTCTTTGCAAAAAAGGGGTTTAAATTGTTGCTCAAATGTACTTTTACATTCCTCGTTCATAGACAAAAACTTTCAAAGTATCATCGTGAAAGTCTATGCTATATATAACCAAATTACCATAATTATATTGGCAACTTCTTTCCATACCAGATTTAAATTAAACTACCACATCACCCTTATTTGGCTATATTGCAACAAAAAGTGTTGGGGGGGGGGGGGGGCGGCAATGAACTTTTTATTCAGCAGGAAAGTTATGTTTGAAAAAATTATGAAGAAGCCTCCATCCCCGCCCTGCAACGTGCCCAATAAGCAGATGATACTCATTTTTTTTTGTCAGTTTGATGTATAAATCAACTTCCCGAGGCGGTCATAAGATTCCGTAATACGGAAAGGTCGAAAATAGCAAACCATTGAAAATAATCTTACTAAAGAAAGTCGTATTAACGAGACAAAAAGTCGTTATTACGACTTAAGAAAGTCGTTATTACGAGATAAAAAGTAGTTATTACGAGATAAAAAGTCGATATTACGACTTTATAAAGTCGTTATTACGAGATAAAAAGTCGTTATTACGAGATAAAAAGGCGATATTACGACTTATGAAAGTCGTTATTACGACTTAAGAAAGTCGTTATTACAAGATAGAAGGCTAATTTGAAATAATATTAATACATAGTTGTATAATAAAATTGTGTAGAAAAATTGAAATTCTATTGTCTGTGTTATTACGACTTAATAAAGTCGTTATTACGACTAAAGAAAGTCGTTATTACGAGATAAAAAGTCTTTATTACGACTTAAGAAAGTCGTAATAACGAGATAATAAGTCGTTATATTACGAGATAAAAAGTCGTTATTACGACTTATGAAAGTCGTTATTACGAGATAAAAAGTCGTTATTTAAGGAATGAAGCTTATTTCAACTTATGTTATCCGATATAACATAACTTGGGGCAGTTTACGCTTTATAAACCGCGAAGGCACTAGCCCTCCCACTTTCAGATCTGGGGGGGGGCAAGAGTATGTCTGAAAGTAACTTGCCCCCCCCCCCCCCCCCCCCCCACTTTTTAATGAAGAACAGAATCACAGCTAATTTGAAATAATATTAATACATAGTTGTATAATAAAATTGTGTAGAAAAATTGAAATTGAAAGTAACTTGCCTTTGAAAAAAAGAGTAAAAAGAAAAATTCCCCCCCCCCCCCCCACGAAATAGGATTTTCGAGTTTGGGGAACTTTAATTTTTATTTTTTTTTTTATTTTGCTTGTCAAAGAATTTCTGGACTTGAGCCCCCCCCCCCCCACTTTTAAGTTTGTGACTACGCCTCTGCCAAACAAATTAGATTAAATAGGGGGTGGGGGTATTATTACACTTAAATTTTAAATAATATTCAATGAAAAAAATCAAAACTTTTGTTTTCTTTGACAAATTCTATTTCTTTGTGTATTAAGTATTAGCCACGATCATTTCCTGTGTATAGGGATTAGCAGAGCAGGAAACGGCATGCCCTGGGGCTTTCACACCTGTCCTAGAGTACCTGGTGTGAAGTGAATCTCTCTGAACGTGCATGCACGTCGTTGTCTAGCCATTCAACACAACATTTAGTTCAATGTTTCATTATTTCCATCGATATCATTTTCAAATGAGATACATGTAACAGCCTTCAAATTTTAGTCAATTTATTATCTCTTTTTTAAAACTGAGTGTATAAAGTAAAAATAAAAAAAAACGAACTTTTAAAACAAATTAATAAAGTATTTGTAAATTATTAAATCAAATGATGATTCATACTATTTTATTTACGTGTCTATTTATCCTGTACGAGTTAGTAGATTGAGAGAGAGAGAGAGAGAGAAAGATGAAAAAACATTACAATGTTAAGGCATGTGCTTGATATCGTTTTTCCTCGTTTTGACTTCTGAAGTCTATCGAATGAAACTTAACTAAATATGAAATAATTTTAATGAAATTGTTTGTGGATCAGATTTTGTTAAATTCTAAAATAGTCGTTTCCGTGAACAGATACATGTAGAACTTGTTGTCGGTGATATATCAGTTTTAATTATTGACTATTTGTGGATTTTGTCGAATTAATATGCGAGTTTAAGGAAAATACAGGGACAGTTATAGCTAAACACTCAATATTTAATTAAACTAGCAGTTTGATATGATTGTTTCCGAGACATTTATTAATTTTATTGTTCATCAGTTCTTCATGATGTAAGATTACGCAATGTGAAGGTATTGCAGGTATCTCGTGAGTATGGAACGCCGTCACTGCCTTATAGCAGAACACTACTTTTGCATTGTGTCAACCTTCCATTACATTATGTCAACTCTTTATGACATTAACCCACACTACTATTGCATTGTGTCAACCTTCCATTACATTATGTCAACTCTTTATGACATTAACCCACACTACTATTGCATCGTGTCAACCTTCCATTACATTATGTCAACTCTTTATGACATTAACCCACACTACTATTGCATCGTGTTAACTTTCCTCTACATTATGTCAACTCTTTATGACATTTACACATACTACAATTATATTTCGTCAACTTGCATTTCGGTATGTTTACTTTTCATGAGATCTTAGTTTTTATGAACTGATGTGAAAAGCTCATGCCATACTGTGCGCACTCTTCTACATTATGTCGATTCACTATTACGTTATGCGAACACGGGTATCCTCGGCCTTTATATGAGTATATCGTATTTTCCGCGTTCCGCAAGCACTAAAATGGCGGGAGAGAAAACTGTCGTAGAAGAGATTCTAAAGCGATTTGGGAATGACATCTTTAAATGAAAACTTTAAGCGACAAATGGTTGACAATCTTGAAACGTGCAAAGCCTAAACACTGCGACTGTGAATTAAAGTCACGTCGAAATTCAATGGCGTTTACTTTAATCTCATAATTAAATAAATCAAATTATGAGTCGTGCAGCAATCATTTTTTTCTTTTTCTTTTTCTTTTTTTTTTTTTTTATAAAAGTTTTAAACTTTGAAGGACATTGCATTAGTTTCACAATAAGTTTAGCTGAATTAAGTTGAAAACTTTTTTCTATAAAACTATAAAGTCTGAGAGCTTCTCCGCTTTCCGCCCTCTTCCTTGTTCAAGATTCCCATATCTGCCACTGATATGTGCCCATGCATGCTTACTAAGGCATATTCAATTGATTTAGATGAGCGACTGGTAGATTTTTGTAATAGAATTCTGGCCCTGAAATGATTAAAAAAAAATACTAACTCCAGTGACGTTCATCATTTTTTTGAAAGAGGAGGTCAGCCAGAAAAAAAAATCATTTACCCGAAAAAACTTGACAAACCAAAAAAAAAAAAAAGTCCAAGCCCGAAAATCCTATTTCGGGGAGAGGGGTCCAACTTCGATCAGTCCTATTTTTTTCTAGATATATTACATTACCCTTAGTGGATTATACTTCAACAAAAAGTGGGGGTGGGGGGCTATACAGTTTCAATGAACAGTACATTTTCTATAGTAAAGTTAAGTCTGGGAAAAGAGGGGGGGGGGTGATATTATGTGCGTGTAATTTGTCCTAATGAATCAGGACCCCCCCCCCTTCTTACCAGTCATTAAAACACGGTCGTCAACATTCATTATATACTACGTATACAGCTTTGAGATCATGTAAATGTTTTTTAACATCAGGTATAATGAACTTTTGGAATCAACATGATAATGAGTTAACACAATATAAAGATATTTTAATTCGCATAAGAAAGAGTTGACATAACGTAATTATATATCCACATCACGGAATGGAGTTTTGGCATAATGTAATAAAGTATTGATATAATAATATAAAGATATGTTCACATAATGTCATACACTTTTTACACCACGTAATAAAGCACTGACATAAAGGTAAGATGTGTTCACCTCACATCATGATGCCCTCACCGTATAATAAAGATAAATCCATATCACGTAATAATGCTTTGATATAATAGAAATATACACTCTCAAAAAGGAATGGGCTTTTGACTTCATGTAATGATAAGTTTAATTATAAAACACAATTTACTTGACGTACTGCAATTTTGACCTCACATATTAAAGGAATGAAATAATGTAAAGAAAAAATCATTTCATGCAATAAAGTTTTAACACAATGAAAACACATTATCACTTCACATTATGATTTTTTTACTTCAAGTTATGAAGTGCTGACATAATGAAAGGATGTATTTACTTCATGTAATGCAGCATTGACATGATGTTAAGATATTTTTACATCACCTCATAAAAAATGGACATAACGTAAAGATATGTTCACATCACGTAATGATCAATTGACATAATAAATGCATAGTTGTATGCTATAAGGCAGTGATGGCGTTCCATACGTGAGGGTATAGACCAGTTACACAGACACCTGAAAACTTGAACCATGACAACTTGCTGATTTTAAAATAAGTCAATTTCTGTGCCATGTGTTCAAATTCAAATTATTTTACGGACCATATCAACCGATAGTAGTCAGTCTTTCCATTGACAATACGTGAAATTTCTTCATTATGTTCATAGACATGATTTTAGTAATTTTCGAAAAGAACAGAAAATAGAACTACACTCAAATAATACGTAGCTATGAAACTATTGATATTGTGAATAGAATGACTCGACAAATGTGATGATTTTTTTTAGCAATAACCCCCCCCCCCCCAAAAAAAATAATAATAAAAAGCGTCGATATTTAGTTCATAGTCTTACAGTGTAGCGCATAATAATGGAGCAACATATTCCTACATGTACACGTTTTTTTTGTTTAATTTTAATTGCTATTATGTATCTCCATCTATCATCAATTCTCATGCTATAAAAACAGACATGTACACTGTATAAAAGGCATTTTTAAAAATGAAACGAATGGCTGTGATAGAATCTCGCTGATAAATAAAGGCATAGCTACATGTAACTACAACTGGCTAATCATGAACACTGGATTACAGTGCATATAATATAAGAAGCGATATGGTATTCTTTAAATTCTAAATTTAATTCCTCTTTTTTAGAAATTGAATTTAAATTGAATTGAATACTGACTCATTTGTGGTGGAATTATTGATTTTATAAATAAATATAATTATTTGATAAATTATTCGACTATATTTCATCCAATATTACAGTTAACAGACGTGTTCGAGAATTAATTAATTTTGAGTGACTATTGGTAAAAAGATATTTTTTATCAAGCAATTTGATAAAACTTAAGAATTACTTTTGAAAAATCCATTTAATGGTATTCATAGAATAAACGTGGTCGTAATCTTAAATGGCCACCCCCTTTTTCGACACGATTAAAAATCGACCAGACTATGTAAGCTGAAGAGTAACGGTAGCTGGCCCCGCCGCGGTGTAAACACGGTTTTAGGTAGCACCGCGATCAAAACCCGCGACGGTGTAACGCGGAAAGGATTAATACACCGCGGAGGGGACGCGGTCTAATACGGGATCCGCGTTGCCTGTACTGTATCTCCCGTTGAATGAGGGCGTGGCCCTACATTTGAACAAACTTGAATCCCCTTCACCCAAGGATACTTTGTGGCAAGTTTGGTTGAAATTGGCCTAGCGGTTCTTGAGAAGAAGTCGAAAATGTGAAAAGTTTACAGACAGACAGACGGACGCCGGACAAAATGTGATCAGAAAAGCTCACTTGAGCCTTCGGCTCAGGTGAGCTAAAAAAGAAATTCTTATATCTTGTATCTTCTTATATAACATACCGGTATTCTAAAGAGTAACATTTCTACAAGAGACAAACAGAACATTTCTAATTTGTCGTTTATTTTATTCATTTGTCATAGGTAACCATTACGAAAGTAGTAAAATTAAATTTCACTTTTTTTCTTTAATACTGTTCAAAGAAGCTTTATGCAATGAACAAATGTATAATCCTTTATTATTAATTTCAACTCAAACGGATAAATTTTGTTTCAGTATGAAGAATGGGTCATTTTTGCCCTCTTTTTTGTATATACTGTAAGTCGTTTTATTTCCACGGTTTAAAAATCTTCTTTACAAAGTCCTTTAAACTCTATGGAAACCAGACAGCACTGGACAGTGCATGAGATTGCTTACACAAAAAGCCCTTGGAATGCTTGTTACACTTGTTTTAAGTTCAAATATGAAAGCAAAGCAAGATTGTGTGTTCTAAATTCAGATCGATGCATTTACCTTATCATGATATACAACAGAGAGCTGTCGAAATCTTCGTAGGAACCTTTAGTGGCGGCGTTGTTGATTGCTGTCCATTGTTCGGGTCGGAGTTTTGGTAGTTTGGTACAGGCAGTAGCTCTGCTGGCTATATCTGATGGTGAGACATGAGAACTCAGCTCATCCCTTAATATGTCAGTATTTAGGTCAACAATGGCCCGGCAAGCTCGGGAAAAATTGGTGTGTGGATCAAGATTTGTAGCCATTCTGCTTCTGTCTGTAATTAAATAATATTGGAGAAAATTACTTGTTTAATTAATCGTTACAACGACGTTCTAGCTCTACTGGTCAGAAGCCTTTGAGCTTTTTAACCTTTCATACTACAATTCTCTATGGTGTACGAAAGACCCCTACTTATTTTGAGATCAAGATGTCAAAATGTCAGGTAGTAAATGCATGCTTTCTGTGTGTATGAAACTTTCATTTCCGGGCAATATCTAAAGGAGTTTTTGACCTTTTTTTTTTTACCTGTCATTACTGCTTATGGTCCCACTCGCCCTTCTTAAAGTACATCCCCTTTGACAACAGCAACCCTCCTACCCGATCCACGCATACTCTTCTTTTTCCTTAACGGGGGGACACAGATTCTCTTGATTACTAGTAGCTTGATAGCCATTTCTTACCTTATTTCACCGTTAAGGCGATACAGGTGCACACCAAATATATAATTAGGAAATCGTTAGAAATCTCAAATAGCTAATGTTATCGATACCAATTACAAAAGTTTAAGATGAAGACGATTTTAACAGATGATAATTTTTTTATTATAGTTTGACGTTGATTGATTGATTGATTGTATACTGTTTAACGTCCCTCTCCAGAACATTTCACTGATATGGAGACGTCATCATTGCCGGTGAAGGGCTGCAAATTTAGGCCTATGCTCGGCACTTACGGCCTTTGAGCAGGGAGGGATCTTTATCGTGCCACACCTGCTGTGACACGGGGCCTCGGTTTATACGGTCTCTTCCGTAGGACCGCCCCATTTAGTCGCCTTTTACGACAAGCAAGGGGGTACTGAGGACCTATTCTAACCCGGATCCCCACGGGGCAGTTTGACGTTGAACAGATACGAATTAAATATTTAAGGTAGATCGCGGGTTTACTGTCTACCTGAAAACATAGGCTAAAAATTTGTCGGCTAATTCCTCTCGTTTTGAATTTTTCTTTCTGAATTTTTTTTTAGATTCGTCTGCGTGGTTAGATTGTAATCGTAATTCAAATGCGCTGATGTTGATGAGAACAGGTTACGCTTTTTCAATGAAATATATAGTAAAATGTCCGTTTTCTGCCGGTATACTCATTTCAAAACCATAATCATAAAATTAAAACGAAGCAGTCGAATTATATATTACTCGATACAATGAATGTCAAGTGAATTTAGAATCGATTTATTAAAAAAATTAGTATGTGTTCTCGCTCAATTTCTTGCAAAAAAACTTTAAAGTTTTACAATTTTTCATCAGAAGTATTATATTTTCATCACGACGTTATATTACGTTGTTACGACGTCATTATTTTCGTATGCCTGCATGACTCGAAAAAAAATGAATTAATAATCAACAATTCACTTAAAATAAAGCATGCAATCCATGAATTCAATTTCCCGATATTATCATTGCCATAGCTTACCAACAGCGTGGTACTATTTCATTGTCACGTGTTTTCTTTTTCTCGCAATAAACGTACAAGGCTAGGGGTGCAGAAAAATTATGACAAATGTACATGGATGTAATGAAAAAAAACCCACTTCTTAGCGGATTTGAGAACATTTTCAAACATATATAATATTTGCATCCTTTATAGCTATTAATAAAATGTACCCGATTTTAAATCGGAAATATTGCAGTTGAATTAAAGTAGCTTTATGACCTATATTGTGTACATTTATACTTCATAGAATGAATTAATTTTGTCTATATCCCTGAATTAACAAACTTCAGTTTTCCCTTCGAAATGTCGTAAAGGCCATTTTTATCATTACTTTACCGATATATAGAATACTTTAGAAAGGATACAGTATACTAAAAAACAGGTATTGATACTACAGAAAACATTGCTACTTTATGCTATTGTCGCCTCAATTAAAACGCCTGACACCCCCTCCTTTTTTATGCTTGTCAAAGAAGTTTTGGTTGTTGATAGAACCCCCAACTGAAAATATACAGGAGTAGCTGTGCCCCGATCTGGAATTTGTTTCCTACGGACCTGCAGCTCGCACTTGCCTTGACACTCCCCCCCACAAAAAAGCAATTGCAGTTGTAAGCCGAATCGCTATTAATTGTCATTAATAAAAGGGTCTGAGTTATAGATGACAATTTATAGGACGTACATATTTTATTTGGTGATATTTTATTTGGTAATGTTACCTAAATCATTTACGTCTCTCATTAACCCCCCCCCCCACCCCCCAAAAAAAAACGTAAAAAAAAATCATCAGTTAGAGAAACTCATGTACAAATGATAGTTCATTAAACATCTTGACGTACCATATACTGTCCATTTCTTTCTTGTTTTGAAAATCTTTTACCTGTACTTGGCTCAGACAATATTGTTGTGCATAAAAATATTACCAATCTAGGCGTACATCATCACGAAGAAAATGAATACCTTGTATAATGAGTTCGAGATGGTTGTAAAACAAATAAATAATAATAAAACAAATAAAAAATAAAAGTAGATTAGTATGGAAACTAAATTAAACAAACAAAATTCATAAAAGTGACCCCCCCCAAAAAAAATATAATAAACTGCAGGGCAGGCGCCAGACATATCGGCGGTGAATTCGTTTTCGTAAATGTATTAACAATTAGGCAATGATATTTTAGAAAGGTGTGTACAAACAACAGATCTAGGTATCAGCGTTAAATACTACTGCTAATGTAAAAGACAAACTTGATCAAAACATCATTTATTCTCAATTACATACAAAAAATACACCAAACAAACTTTAATACATATTCCACTTTTAGCACTGCTGAGAAATTTTTTGCTTGCTAATTTGAACGCGGTAAGCTTTTTACGTCAAATCCTATTATGACGTCAGCAAACCCGCGATCTACCTTAAAACATAAAGCCAAAGACTTGTTTAGGTTGAACCAAAGGTCAACATGTCCAATAAATTTTCCCATATATAGAATACTAAAGTAAAATTAGCTGCTACATGTATATGCTTATGATCCCCTCAATAAAAATGTACGATGACCTTTTTCTTACCTGTTAAGGAATTTTTGGTAGTTGATATTGCCCCATCCCTTCAACTGAAAATGTTTTGAGGCCCCCCCCCCAATTGAAATTACTCCCTATAAGTGCCTGTGGGGTATAAAGTTAAAGCTTTTACAGTTTAAATTATAAATATATCATTGATCAACAGATAGAAAGTTAAACTTGAAAATGAATATTTAAACAAAAAAATTATTTAAAAAAGAAACCTTTTAAAATTGCATATTATAAAATAATGCGTGCGCACCTGCTTTATTCTGTACTTTTAGTGAAAATCATTATTGCATAAATAATAAACCTTTGTAAATAAAGGGCAAGTTGGACGTGAATAGTCTCTAAAAGGCTGTAATTGAAAGCACGACCATATGACATCCCTATAAATTCCGCCGCCATTTGCAATGTACTTTCGGTTTTAAACCTTAACATTATAGGACAAAATAAACAGGAAAAACAACTTTCCAGAGGTTATCGAAATTCAACTTGCTCTTCATTGATAAACATCAGTTGTTCTGCAAAGATTACTTTCACTAAAAGTTCGGAATTAATTAGGTGTGGGTGTGGGTGTTTTTAAAATATATTCATTTTTAACAGAATTTTTTTCGAAAGATATTTTTGAAGTATTTGCTATCAAGTGATACTTTCTATCTGTTAATCAATGATTTATTTATAAACTGTAAACGTTTTCAATATATACATGTTATACCTCACGTAGTTTTGCAGCTATTATAAAAATAAATTTTGGAAATCTTGACCTTTGATGAAATTTAAACCTACAAAACTGTTAAACCATAGACATTTTCAGGGGAAGAAAGAAAAAGAACAGATTTGCTTCTGATAAATTCTGCAACTTACTTTATGACCATATTATCTTAAGTTGTTGTAATGATTCCAAAAAATGCGATATATACTGCATGATTATGGCAACTATGGCGTCGTTTTGAAAAGATAAAAATAGCCTGCTGGCTTTTAAAGGAACAATTTAATGAATCGTGTTGACTACAGATTTTATATTTCCGGGATATGACACGAATAAGATTCATTAATATACCACCGCTTGAAATGTTGGAGGGTATATAGTGATGTCTGTCTGTCTACGTCTGTCTATCCGTTACGTTTTTGGATACCCATCTCCGCAACTTCTCTTAAAATTACATCAGAATCAAAGAACTTTATTCGGTAATACCCAATATTTGCCCCCCCTCCCTCAAATCAAACTTTGACGGAGAAATGTTGAATAATGTTCTTAATCAGGGCGATATATGCTGACTTTAAAGCACTGATTATTTTCATAAGCAATAACGTCATTTATTATATACCCATCAATTTCCTTGTTTTTGTTGCTGTTAATTTTCCAGAGTTTGATCCGATTTTCCGGATCGCCACACTATGGTTTTCTTAATCCATATCACCACTCTCTGAAACTGATGACGTAGTAAGCAAAAACATGACGTTATTTTTCTTGCGTGTTAAAAAGTCCCTTGTTATTATGCTTTCTTTTATGGATAAATATTATACAATTGATCTCTTAAGTTTTATTCTGCTATATTTAGCTAGTTATAAGGGGGTATATAATAAATTTATCATTATAACAGTAACTATATCCGAAGAGCCGTATCACGTCTCGTTGACAGGCGCGGATCATCAGATCAAACTCGACGCTTCGCGTCTCATTAGATCTGATGATCAGCACCTGTCAACTCGACGTGATACGATCCTTCGGATCAAGTTACTGTTATAATAATATATATGTGTTTGAAATTACGTCACGAAAATGACGTTAATTAAAAATTTCCATGATTACTACAGAAAAATGTATATATTAAGTCGATATTTTGAGCAAAAGTCACTGAGCGCAGTTCTGATCAGACTCAATATTTTGATATAATATGTAAAATAATAATATCAATGAAATATATAAATATCATTCCTGAGCAAACTTGCGCTCTATTTTAAAGCTATAATTGTTGAAATTTTGTCCATTTTTTCTTCTT